CCCGGGGACGAGGAGGTGCCTTGGGGCGCAGGTCAGACACCTGTGGGACAGGTGATCACGGAGCAGAACCATGGTGTTCTGAGTGGTTTTCGGTTCCGTGTTGGGCTGTGTTCCTGGCCATCCTGGGCCACGTGCGTGGGTTGGACACCCTGCTGTGTGGCTTGAGCACACACTTTAGACAACAATGGATGTCAGCCGTTACCCCATGAAACCCGGCAGAAATCCCGCAGAGCAGAGGCAGGGGACCCGACCCCGGGAGCCTGGCCCCTGGGACAGGGTGGGAGGCAGCGGCCCCTCCCCCACTGGTCCCCTCCCCCCTGCCCCACAGGCCTTCCCTCCCACTGCCAGGGAGGGCGAATAACGTCAGCTGACCCCTGACCCGGGCTCTGTGTCAGGCTGGGCGCTGGGCGGGGCTGTGGCTGCTGTGCCCTTGTGAGGAGGGGGGGAGGGGACCAGGGGAGAGGGGCGGGGGAGGAGGCCCTGAGGGTCAGCCACCACTGAGGTCCAGGGGCTCCTCTGGAGGACCCCCTGCCCTGTGGGCTACTCCGGGTGCACACCAGCTCTCCCAGGACAAGGACAGCCCCACACGCACACTGAGGAGGCCCCCAGGGCAGGACACAAGAGTTTTCCCCACCAGACCCCCCTCACCTAGAACTGGGGGCGACCCCAAGGACTCAAGGTGGGGCGACAGAAGGTGTCCAGAAGGTGCAGGAACAGGGGCATCTCAGGAGACCCTGCCCCCAGAGTTGGTGGCACAGTTGCTCCCCTGGGGCTGAGACTTGGAGGGGCCCCCAGCCTGCAGATGTGTGGGTGTGAGGCTGAGCTTGCCCTCCGGGGCCCACTTTTCAGCCACACCCCCCCTGCTGGGGAGATGGTCAGCCAGACACAGGCCGGAGACGCGGGTTCCACACTCCCAGGTGCCCCTGCCCTGGCCGCCCACGGTCTCCAAGCTGCACTTGGGGCGCCGGCTCGGAGAAGCCCGGGGCCCCCATGAAGTGTCCTGAGGCTGCGCACCGGAGGCCGCTGACGGGGCGGGGTCCAAACTCAAGGTGTCGGCAGGGCCGAGCTCCCTCCCGGAGGTCAGGGCAGGCTCCCTCCTGCCCCGTTCAGCGTCTGGTGGCCGCAGGCGCCCCTCGGCTTGTGGCCTCATCACCCCAATCTCTGCCCTTGTCCAGCAGCCCTCTTCAGACGAGGACCCCCACATACTGGAGTTAGGGCCCCCAACCCAGCTCGGCCTCAGCTTAAGTGATTCCACCTGCACAGACCCCGTTTCCAAATGAGGTTGTTCTCACAGGTTCCCAGGGAATGTGGGTTTCGGGGGACTCAACGTCCCTTCAGGACACTGCCGGAGCTGGTCTCCCTCTCGCTCAGGACTGGTTGACGGGACCCCTGGGCCACCCCCCCAACCCAGGGCTGGGGGTCATTGTGGAGGGCAGAGTGCAGGCTTGGCCTCCTGGGAACTCAGGCGGCCCCCAGCCCTGCAATCCCACTTGTGGGCAGGAAAACCCAGGGGGGGCGATGGGCGGAGGGAGGGGCTGGAGAGGTTTCTTGGCTTGGCAGGGGGTGGGGTGGATGGGGGGTGCCAGAGCAGAGCCCCAGGGTCTTCAGAAGCCTCCATTTGGGGGGAGGAGGCCAGCGAGGGCAGCACCTGAGCTGGGGACATGGGGACAGGACCGTGTGTCTGAGGGAGGGAGGGCAGCTGCCTCTCCCGCCAGCCCCCTCCCAGCTGCCCCTGCATTTCTGGGCTCCTGGGGCTGTGGCTGGAGGCTGTGCCGGCCCTTGGCTTTAACCTGCTGACCCTTGGCAGTCCCGGCCATCAAGGCCCCCCCATCTGCAGGGTGAGAAGGTGTCCCCCATTCCTGCACCGCTGGGTGGACGCCCCATGGGGCTCCACTGCCCTCCGACCTTCCTATGCTTCCCAGCACTGACTCAAGCCAGCCCGTCTGCTCAGCGCACTGGCGACCACAAGTGCAGCCGCCGGGCTCCGGGCAGGCTGGCCGGCTGGGCACACACAGTCCAACATGGAAGGCCGGGCTCCGGGAAGGAGGCGGCCCAGCCTCGGGGCCATCCCCGCTCGGCAGTCGGCAGGGCAGGGCGCCCTGCGTGGGGGCCTTGCCGCCTGCCACCTCTGAGCTGACAGCACGTGCCTGCTGGGGTTTCTGTTGAAAACTGGAAGGGGCTGGTCCTGCCGCCTGATGGTGGAACCGACCCCCCAAAATCAAAGAAGGGCGTGGGGCAGCAAAGTGGGGTCTAGATCACTCCTGCCAGCCCCGAGGGGGCCCTGCTGCATCAGAGGCAAAGCTGTGCCCCACCTGCACAGGAGCCAGGAGACCACTCCTGCCCCGGCCCTGAGGATGTCAGGAGCCCAGACACCAGCCCCTTTGCAGGGGCAGGTGCCTGGGAGGGGAGGGGCCCGACCGGCTGGCTGCCCCACCACCCCGACTCTGGGCCCGGAGCCTTGTGGGCGGGGAGCTGGCTCATCACCCCTGGATGGTGGACAAGGCCAGAGCACACAGTGAGGGCCTGGCGCTGGGCGGGCGGTTCCGAGGCCAGAGAGGGGGGCCCAACGCCCCTGACCCCACAAATGCTGCCGGGCAGGGTTGGGGGGCCTCCTGGGAAATGCTGACATGTTCTGGGTAAACACGGAGTTTGTCTTGTAAGAACTTGATTCTGCAGCGCCGATCTCAGCCCCAGTCCGAGATTATTTTCCAGCAAAGCTCTGTTGCCCGTCACTGCAGCCCATGGCTCAGCAAACTCGAGCCTCTTGATCAAGTTCAATGTCTGAAGTCCCTGCGGCCCCACCAGGGCCCCACATCTCACTGAGGACAGAGGGAGGAGGCGGGGCACAGGGGCCCCCTCCAGAAGGTCCCCGGAGGCCTGGGGCGGGGTGGCAGCTGTCGGAAAGCATTGGCGGAGGGGATGGGGGGCTTCCTGACGTGCTCTGGCACCTGCTGCGCCTGGCTCAGGGGCCCAGCTCTGCTCTGCAAGGAAGAGTCCCAGACGGCAAGGCCCCAGGCCGGTGGGGGTGCGAGGCCTCAGTGGCCGGATGAAACCGGAGGAGAAGCCCCTGGATGACTCCCAGGTTGCTCTGGCCTGGCCTCCCCAGAGTGCCAGGCCTTCGGGGCTGCTGTTCCACCAGCTGGTACAGGCCTGGCCTGGGGGCCCCTCCCTTGATAGCCAAGGAAAATGAGGCCCTTTGGGGTGGCCAAGGCCAAAGGAGATGGGGTGCCCCCTCCTGTGCCAAAGGCTTCAGTCAGGTGCACCCTGGGGCACTTGCCCTCCCACCAGGCCAGCGTCCTGGGTCCATCTGGGGCCTCTCACTCCTTCGGGGAACGGGCCATGGGCGTCTGCAGAGGAAGGGCCATGGAGGGTGGGAGTGGCCCCGAGAGGCTGGGGTGCTGAGGCCCCCAGTGTCTGCGCCTGGCCCTGCTCAGGAGCAGCAGCTCCTCACCCAGCTGTCCCCACAGCTCCCCAGCGTGGCTCAAGAGCTGGGCACGCACTGGCCATCGGAGGCCTGGTAGGGCCTTGCTCGGCTTTGGGCTGGCCTGGCGCCACTCCTCCTGGAAGTCCCATGCCTGGCTTGCAGACCAGTGGTGACACTTCCAGGAAAGGCTCTGAAGCTGGGGCCAGCCAGGACCTGGTCAGGGAACCCCAGACACAGCTGTTTGGGAGTCCTCTGTCAGCTGGTGCCTGCCGAGTGCCAGAGCTGGGAGCCCCCACACCCGGGGGCTGGCCAGGCACAGGCCACCTCGTCTAGCACCCGAGAGCTCCTGCCACAGCAGCCCTGCTGGTCCGTGCCCGGCAGGGGTGGAGGGGTGGGCTCCGTGGGCGAGGGCCCTGTGCCATTTCCCTGGGGTCTGCAGCACCTAGGTCATCCCTGGCACAGGCAGGCGGTGAGCGCCCTGCCCCACCCTGCAGTCTGCACGGGCTGCCGGCTAGAGGCCGGCCTGTGACCTGGGAGCATGACTGCTAGCTTGGGGGGCTTGCACTCAGGGCTGGGGGCCCTGGGCTGAGGGTGCTGAAACTTGGGACGTGGGGGAGGCGGGACTGGACGGGGTTGAGGGCGCTGGGCAGCCCAGGGGTAGGCCCTGCACAAGTGGGGTCCAGAGCAGAGCCCAAAGCTGGGAACAGCAGAAACGGAGCGTCCCAGCGCCCCCAGTGACATCTGTTTGTGTCCACGTAGAGAGGCTGCCCGCCACCAGCCCCCTGCACCACCTGGCCCCATGGAGCCACCTCAGGGCCACCCCAAGGCCCAACGGGCAGGGGCTCTCCCAGTCCAGAGCCGCAGAGGCTGCCTAGGCCTCTGCTGCCACCCAGTGGCCGCTGCGAGTCACCCAGATAGGGATCGAGGAGAAGACCCTCGCAGGACCTGCACCCCCGGCACCGCCCGGCCCGGGACCTAGGCTGGCCCCCTGGACTTCGTCGCCTCCCTTCTCTTTCCCTTCATTAAGGAAACCGAGTTCCGCCCTGTTGAAGAGACACGGTGACGGTCCTGAGAAGGACCGCCAGAGTCTGCCGAGTGGGAATGAGGCTTGGGCCGTGCCAGCCAGACAGTTGGGGGTGGCGGGGCCGGAGGTGATGGGCTCTAACTGGGGTGACCGGGTGGGAGGCCTTCCTCCGGGGCCTCTGCAGACCCCGGGCCTGCGGTAACCGCGGCGGGAGGGGCCCCCCACCCCCTCCGCTGGAAAATGTCTTCTCCGTGGTGGAGGAAAGAATGTTGGCCTCAGTCTCCCCAGAGGTTGGAGTCAGGACACCATCTGCTCTGATGACGTCACGACAGTCGGAGGCCTCTTCGAGGCCTGAGGAACAGCCTTGGGGACCCCGGAGACGGGTTCCCACGCGCAAAGCGGTAAGGTCGGATCGGGTTGGGGTCCGGGTTCTGGTAGTCTCGCCAGTTCGCCGGATCGGGGCGGGGCCAGCTTCGGGGGCCGGACCAGCGTCTGGGTGGGGCGGGGCCGGTGTCCGTCGGGGGCGGAGCCAGTGTCGGGGGTCGGAACTGGGCGCTCACTTCCGCCGGACGCGCGGGCTCCAGGCAGATGCAGGGGGCGCGGGGTTCTCGTCTTCGTCTGAGTCGCCGGCAGCCGTCCGCTAAGAGCGGGTGAGGCTGGGGTCTGGGAGGTGGCCGGGGTGGGTGGCCCAGTGTCCCACGGGCGAGCTGTGGCCGGCGTCCCTCCCCACGCGCTTCCCGCTGGACCCCTCCAGGCTGCGTTCTTAACACGCCCCCTCCGGTCCTGCCCTCCTCGGCCGGTGTCCCCATCCCCCCATCTCCCTCGACTGCTCCCCCGCGGATCTTCCCCCGGCTGATATCTACCCTCGCTGCCCCAGGCCTCCGAGCCCCCGCCCGGGGTCCCTGCAGGACGGCGACAGTGAGCGCGCGCAGTTGTGGGCCGGGCTGCTGCGCGCTGTGAGCGTGGACTTGGACGAGGACGCGGTGTTGCCGTCGCTGCCCGCTTTCCCAGGCCAGGTGGGTGGCCAGGCGTGCGTCGGGACGGCTGGCGGGGGGACGGGGAGCCTCCGGGCCAGGGCGCCGCTGACGCCACCCGACCGCCCATTTCGCAGGAGCCCAGCCGCTGTCCCGAGCGCACCGCGTCTCCTGAGGTCTTCACCGTGGGATCCAAAACCTTTTCGTGGACGCCCTTCCCGCCTGCCCCGAGGGGAGAGGGCCCAGGCCGCTCCTACCGGGTGCTGCGCGGGACCGGCGGGTGCCCAGAATCCCCTGCCCCGTCCCCGAAAGCATGCGCTGCGCCGGAGCCCGGCGGAGTCCTAGGCTCCGGGGAGCAGCCGGCGGTGGACGCGGCGCGGGCCCTGCAGAGCTGCCCCATGTGCCAGATCGACTTCGCTCCCGGGTGAGTGCCTCTGCCCTGGGCCGCTCCCTTCTGTTCCCGGTGGGGGACCCCGGCCAGTTTCGGAAGGCTGAGAGGTGCCTAAGCTCGCCTTTGGCCTTTCAAACTGCACGCGTCCAGAGTTGGCAAAGCCGCTGACTAGGAGGTTAGTCCGAGGGCACGGTCTGTGGGTTTGGGGGTCCACCTGCTGGCTGGTGGGCCGGCCCAGAGCCCTGACAGGCTGCTTCCTGACCAAGGCCCGCACACTGTGCAGCTGGAGGTCGGAGAGCCTCCTCCCTCCCTCCGAGCCCAGTTGCCCTGCCCTGGGTCTTGGGGGGCTGAGGCCTCCTCCAGGGCAGGACCAAACCTCCGGTCACTGGGAAGGCTCCCTGGGGCTTAGCTCCACCAGCAGGTTCCCAGGGTGGGCTGGAAGTTTTAAAACTGAAGGCTTTTGTGAATACAGGTGTTTTCTATCTTTAAAACTCCAGTGTATATTTGTACCTCTTAAGTAGGGGATGGAATCCAGCTGCACTGAGAAGTTACACTCTCAGCTTGTGGGCTGTGTGTCACCCAGCAGGCACACAGCCCTGGGGCTCACAGGGCCAGCGTGGTGGGGGGCACCTGGTTCAGGTTCGGTAAATGGACAGCAGGACTTGGAACTGGGCCTGCTCCGATTTCCTGTGATCTGGACACCTGTGCTTATGAGCCCCGTCCCTGGACTTCCCAGAAGCAAACACACCCCTGGAGGGTGCAGGGAGGGGGCTCCGGCATCAGCAGCCGGTGACAATGCCTTCGAGCCAGCGACCCACACATTCGGAACGCAACCTGTGCAGGACTGTGCCCAGACACCGCGTCTCGTTCGGAACCCAGTTGGAGTCAGGATGGGGATCCCTCCTGTGTTGCGTCCGAGGACGCCCCCAGCACCTGCTCCTGCCACCCAGGCTGGTGTGGGCAAGGTGGCGGCTGTCCTTGGTGGGGGGCCTGCTCCTGGGGAACCCCCTGCTGGCCTGGCTCCGCAGGAGGAGCCCTGGGAGGGCCCTGGGGGAGTCTGCAAGGCGCGTCCAGACCTGGCCTCTCTCCTCTGGCCTCCAGTCCAGGCAGGTTTGGGGTCGTCGTTAGCGGCACCTGGTGCTGACCCCAGTGCCCACCGAAGGGAAGGGAGTGAAGTTGTCAGGGCTCACACTGGTCAGTAGAGGCCCTGGGGCAGCGTGGCGGCCCAGACTCAGGGGAGGGGTGGCCCCCCCACCCCAGCCTTTGTCTTCGCATCGCTTAAGGAAGGCTCCTGAAGATGGGGACAGGAGGGACAGAGGCCCGGGTCTGGTGGGAGGGGCTTCAGTGGACTTGGCAGAGTGCCAGCACTGTTCCACTGTGTGTGTCAGCGTCCTCGGATCCGGGTCCCCTGCGTCTCAGTCTCCGAGAGTCCGGAGTGCTTCTAGCTTGTTCTTCCATCTGATTGTGAAGGAGACAGCGAGCTTGGGCCAGAACACACCCCTGGGGAGACGACAGGAGCCCCCGCCTGGGAAACAAGCCCCTCCCCACCACACATCAGTGCCCTGGGGCAAGGAGACAGGCCGCTGCAGCAGAGTGTGCAGGCGGCACTGGGACACGGGAACTGCGCTGCTGGGGCCGGCCTAGGACCAGTGCCAGGAGTGTCTCTGGGAGCTGTGGCCTCCCTTCTGGCCGAGGGAGGGACCGGGTACAGTAGGACCGGCTTGTCCCGTCTCCACCCAGCCTCTGTGTTTCCCGGGCCCCTCAGAAAGCCTTTCTCCTGTGGTGTGATGGACTTAGCCGTGAGTGAAGTGCTGTCCCCGTAGGGTCCCCCTGCTGCTAAATTCAGGTATTTCGTGGGTGTTCTGATGCCTGTGTCACGCAGGGGGTCAGGCAGGTCAGCCCCACAGGCCAGTTGACGGAAGAGCCCCAGTTGTGGGTCCCCCAACATGTGGGACTGTAGCTGCTCAAGGCCCCTCAGGCTGTGGGGCGCGCGCTGCTCTTCCCGTTCTCGCTCAGGAGCCACTGGAGGTGCTGCTTGAGTCCCCTTGTCCCCCAAGGACATTCACGCCCGGGCACCAGGTGTCACAGGTGGCTGCGAGGCAGGGGTGTCGTGTTTCCTGCTGAAGAAGGATCGGCGAAGACAGTTCTGTTCCTGGGGCAGGGGCAGGGTGGGGGGTCTGCGGGCTGCACCCAAGGGCGGCCTGCAGACAGGGTGACCTCAATCCAGGCCTGAGGCTCTCTGGTGGCCTTGGAGGCAGCACGTGGCAGGGGCTGGTTCTAAGGATAGGCTGAGTGGCTCTGGGGACTTCAGGACCCATGGGCTGGGGTCTGTTGGTACTGAGAAGGCCACCAGACGTGGCGTGGGCCCCAGCGAGCAGCAGGGCGCTTGGTGCAGAGCCAGGCATGGCCAGGGTCCACTGCCGTCCGTCCTGGTGGTGCTGGGCCCGCGCATGGCCGTCAGGGGAGGTTGCTGTAGGTTTGGCACTGACACCTGGTGGCTCTAGGGACAGGTCTCTTTGCTCTGGCCAGTGAACTCGGCTGGTCATGGCTCTGGAGGTGCCTTAGTTAGGGGTCCCCTGTTGGCAAGACCATCCGGGCTGACCAGCAAACTAAGTCCTTGGCCATGGCTGTGGGTGTCCCCGGGGCTCTTCAGGGCTCCTGGAGCCTCGCCAGCCCCAGGACGGACCCCAGGTGGCCTCTGTGTCCTGCCGTGGGGAGGGCCCCGGGGGCCTGTGGGGACAGTCGCCAGCAGACCAGCTCTCCGGCTTGGCTTTGAGCAGTTTCCCCAGGAGCCGTGTCAGGTCAAGCCGAGTGGTTGCCGGGCCCTGGGGCTCATTCAGACCAGGCCACCCCCGGCCTCAGACACAGAAGCCCGAGTACACGTGTCCTACTCAGCCTCCCCGTGTCCTGTGTCCGGGGCCCCCATGCAGAGCCTCTGACCGAGAGCAGGACCTGGGAGGGTCTTTCCTGGTGGGTGCGGCTGCTCCCCCCAGACCTCCGCTCCAGTGGACCAGCCCTGGAGGTCATCGGCAGGGCCAGGTGCCCTTCCGTGTGGCGGCACTGCCCTCCCCGACTGACTGTCTCTCCTCACAGGCTGGCCCAGCTGGACATCGACGGCCACCTCGCACAGTGCTTGGCGGGCAGCACGGAGGACGAGATGTGGTGAGCTGCCCACGGTGTCCCTGCCAGGACCACTGCCCAGCACCCGACAGACGAGGGAGCCAAAGTGGTGTGCTGAGCTCTGGCACTGGCCTGTGGGGGCCACGGCCTTGGCTCCCTTTCTCCCTTGGCCTCTGCTCAGCAGGGACCTGCTGGCGTCAGAACAGTGGTCAGCAGACGCACTTGGGCCGGTGTGCGGTCGGCTTCACCAGCTGAGCTGGGTCTCGGAACCCAGGCGCCCGTGTTCAGGGGTCAGGCTGACTCCATCCAGCACACAGTGCATGTCAGTCCTCTGGGGCACTGGTTGTATTTGCAGCCACTGTCACCTGCAGGGGACCGGGAGGGGACAGGTGGAGCAGACGCTGAGGCAGGGAGGCTCCTTTGCATCCCTTGTCACGGATGTGTGTCGTCAGATGCCTCGTCCAGGCCCCTGGGACAGGCACCGCCAGGATGTAAGTGGGGACCCTGGGTGACACTGATGTGCCCGTTGTGCCACATGCTCCCTCTGTGGGGGCACTGGCAGTGGGGGCAGCTGTGCCTGGTGGTGAGCGGACAGAAATCCCTGTACCTGCCCCTCAGTTTGCTGTGAACCTAAGACTCAATAAAACCTGTTACTTAAAAATGGCTTCAAAAAGGAAGCACCCACTTTTAAAGTAACCGTAAGCGTGTTCACAAAGGTCTTTAACTGCTGTGCTGGCACAGAGCGGCCGTGGCCGTGGGAGCATCGTCCACAGGGGGCCGGGGCCACGGCCACGGCTCTGCCAATGGGGTGAAGCCTCAGAATCTCCAGTTGCACACTCAGGTGCACATGTCCTCCACCTTCTTCACTTGGACAAACAGGTGTGTATGTAGAGCTCCCGTCACCATTAGCAGTGTCATGCACACCTGCTGTGCACAAGCGGCCAGACCACCAACACCTGGTGTGGCAACCAGGTCTCAGCCTGGACGCACCTGGGCCTGAGCTGCAGACCACGGAGCTGATGACCCACCAGGGCCAAGGGCGTACCCAGCGGCTCCCAGCACGTGGGGTTGCTCCCTGGGTGACACTGGTGTGTCCTGGCTCTTTGCTGAGCAGTCATGGGGATGGCCCGGGGCCACAGACCAGGCTCTGCTGCCGGACCCCCTCAGCCGTGGGGTGCTAGGTGGCTCTCAGACCCCAAATTCCTGGTCTGGGTCTTTGGAGGTGGGTCCTTCTGGTGGCACGTGGGTCTGGCCGTCTGAAGCCTCTTGTGGTCCATAAAAGCTGCTCTGTCACCCCAGGGTGGGGGGCGGGGCAGGGACCCCAGGGATGGTGTCGGAGAGCCTGGCGCACCTGTCCCAGCACCTGGGGCCCTGAGGAGCCCGAGCCTGTGCTGGGCGTGGGTTGCGCCGAGGCCCTCAGAGCTGGACACTGCGGCAGCAGCTCCTTTGCTTCCGCTGTTCTCACCGTGACCTCTTGCCCCAAATTGCCAGCTGCGCAGGAGGGAATAGCCCCGCCCACCACTGACGCTGTGGGCGTGGCTGCGCTGGGGATGGACGGATGCTTGAATGCTTGGATGCTTGGATGCTCAGGGCCTTGGTGTCTGAGGAGCCCCAGCTCACGTGTTAGGGACTTAAAGACACAGGTGACTTGCCTCTTTCCAGAAGTCCTTCATTTCGGCTCTTCAGGCTGTCCCTCTACCGAGGGGGTGACCTGGCGGCATGTGCGCCCGCTCAGACGTCGCCAGTGAGCTGTCCGGGCAGCGGCGCACTACCTGGGCATCTTGGGTGCCATTTCACCACGAGGCTCAGCCCCCACACACGGGTCTGACGTCTTCTGATTCTGAGCTTCGCCCTGACCGACCCACACACCCCCAACCGGCGCCGCTCAGCGTTTTCAGGGACGCATTCTGAGTCCCTGAGTCGCAGTTTCCCATGTTTGGGTCTGCCGGTGCTCCGGGGACGCGGTGTGGGTGGACTCCCCGCTGCTTCCACGCTCAGTGTGAAAACCCCTGTTAAGCATCGACAAAGGAACTCCCCAGGACTTAGAGAATGTTCCGAATTTGTAAAAGCTCTTCGTCCCAGGCACTCAGACGCCCGTCCCCAGCCCACTCTGCCGCGACCCCAGCAGGCGCCCCGAGAAAAAAGGCAGCCAGGGCGCGTCTACACCATCGGTACGCTTTATTCCCCGGACATTACAGGTGAGTCCCCCGGTGCAGCGGGTCAGTTCCGCTTTATCTGTGGGAAGTGTGCACCTTCGGAACCGCGGGCCGTGTCTCCCTCGGACGCGGTCGCTGCGGGGCCTCCGCGACGCAGGCACAAAGAGCAAAGTCCTCCGGCTCGAAGCTGCTGTGCGGGCTGCTGGGAGACTTCTGCCCCGAGAGGCGCCCCGGCTACGCGGGCAGTCTCAGCGCAGCGCCCGCCCCGACGCGCGGGGTCGGGGGAGAGGACGGGTGGCCTCACGCGGGCCGCCTCACACGGCCTCCTCGGTGGACAGCAGCAGCGGGTTGATGTACTCGAACCCCGCGAACTCGGACTGGTCGATCCTCTTCAGGGCGTCCCTGTGGGCACAGGCAGAGAGCACGGTCCAGGTTCGCCCTCCGGCCGCCCCCACACCCGGCTCTGGTCCAGTGCCCCGCCGGCCCCGCCCCCGCGGAGCTCACTCGTCATCTGGCGTCAGCTGCACTGGCTCGCTGGTGAACTGCGTGTCGAAGTTGTCCAGGCCGTAGTCATCCGTGATCTGCGGCTGGAAGGGCGGCAGCGCCTGCTTCTTCTCCAGCTGGGGGCACGCGAGACGCCATGTAGGTGTCCAGCACCCCCTCAGCGGGCCCACGGAGGCCAAGGAGGCGCCGGGCCCAGACGCCAGCCCAAAACAGAGGCAGCCTAGCTGATGCCAAGACAACCCCAACTTGTGCCCCGTGTGTCCGTGGGGGCCCAGTGGCCAGGAGCAGCAACTGGATGGCAGGAAGGCCCCGGGAGCGGCTGGGGACTGTCAGGAGCGGGCACAGGCCCCCGCCCACGCGGCCCAGCCCGCGCCAGGTGTGGGAGCCCGCAGAAGGAGCCACCCTTCCCGGGACGGCCCCACTTGTGAGTTCGCGCAGAACCGTGGTGGGGCGGGTTCCCCACGGGACACAGCGACCTCAGGGTCACCAAGCAGCACTGTCCCCAGGGAATGAGCTGGTCCTGCCTCCCCATCCTGCCCCATATGACCTTCAAATCCGCCCACAAGGGCGGCCCGCGGGGGCGTTACCAGGTCCCAGTCTATGCTGCGGAAGAACGCGTGAGACTTGATGTCGGAAAACCCAGTCTGCGGCCGGCAGCCGAGCCTCTCTTTGGGGTCCTAGGGGTCAGAGTTCAGATGAGCACGCGCCAGCCAGAGTGGAGAAGGCTCACCCGCCGCCGCGCTTGACCTGCGCTCGACCTGCGGGGAGGCTGGGGGCTGTGAGCGTACCTTGTTCAGAAATCCTTTCAAGACGTGGGAGGCTTTGACGGAGAGGAAGCGGGGGATGCGGATGGGCTTCTCCAGGATCACTGCAAAGGTGGGGTCCACGTGAGACACTGCATTCTCGCCGCGGCGCCGTGTCCACGGTGCTGCAGTGAGGGAGCCCTGGGGGCAGGGCTCAGACGGGTTTGCTGCCCAGGACCCCAGGTGGCCAGCCTGCGCCAACCACGCCCCCCGCCCCGCCCGGTGAACACGGCACCCCTGCACATGGCCGCCAGGGGGCGCCGTGGGGCCAGCCGCGTCCTGGAGGCAGGGCCAGTGCTCTGGGTGGCCGGGAACCCCAACAGGCTGAAGGGGCAACGCCCTGGCCAAGCCACCCCCGCCCCTGCCGTCCACCCCCGCCAGGCCTCCAGGATGCACCTGGCCCTGGGCGGGAGGGTTTGTGCTACATCAGGACAAGTTCTTCCCTGGTGACAGGAAAGACTGGTGCCCCCTGCCCTCGGCTGGCCTGACCCAGTCTGTGGGGGCACCGCCAGGTCCAGGGGCAGGGACTGGTGGGAGACCCTCCGGCCGCAGCGTCACCTTGGAACAGGTAGTCCTCAGTGTTCATGTCCGGGTTGTCGGTGATGATGTCGAAGGGGGAGCGCCCGGCCATCATCTCGAACATGAGCACGCCCAACGCCCACCAGTCCACACTGAAGCCTGGGGACGGGGGGGGGGGGGGCACACTTGTCACACCACCGGGCCAGGCGGCCTGTCCCTGCCTCCCTTGCACTGGCCGCTCTCTGTCCTCTGCCCTGGTGGGCTAAGGGCTCCTCTAACGACTCCAAAGCCGTTCTGCACTGCGGACATGGCCCCTGGACATGGCTCCGCGCCGGGACGTTCGATGCTGCGTGCGGCCCCAGCAACTGGGACCACGGCCCATCTGCAGGGTGGCCGCCAGCCCTCCTGGCTGGGGAACCCCTTCCTCTGAGACGCCCCACGTTCTCTCCTGTGCTTGTGGTCTGGGTTTCACGGTCAAATACGCTGGTATGTCAGGAACATGCCAGGGGAGCTTCGCCCACAGGCAGCCAGCTGTCCCCAAAGTCTCGTCCTCTCCTGTGGTCCAGCAACCTGTCCTCCTCTGGCCCCCGGTGCCCGAGCACCTGACAGGGCGGGTCCCGCCCAGCCCTCATTTTAACGGCCAGGGGACTGCTGAGAGGAGTCTGACGTCTCCTGGAGACATCGGCATGCCCACGCCCAGAGCACGCTGCTTCCCAGGCCGAGGAAGTGGGGGCAGAGTGCACAGCGGTGTCCGCCGGGTGGCTGGTCACGGAGCACGGCAGCACTGCCGACTCGGACCCTGGTCTGTCCTGTGTCCTCTACCAGGGACGCCCGGGACAACGGGGGGCCCGCACGGGCTGCACGAAGGGTGGGGGCACAGGTGTGTGCAGGGCCTGCGGCTCTGGCGTGACCGGTCAGCGAACCCCTCTCCTCGGCTGCCCCCACTCTGCCCTGTGACCTCCGCGGCCTCCTGGCCTGGCCCTGCCCCGCCCGGCGGCCCGTGCTCACCATACTCCTCCCCACGCAGGATTTCTGGGGCGATGTAATTCGGAGTTCCGCAGAAAGTGCTCGTGGTGTCCCCAGGGCCCAGGCCTTCCTGTGGGGACAGAGTCGGTTACCGGGAGGGAGGCCAACTCTGCTGGGACCGTGCCGGAGGGACCGTGTGCCTCGGGTCGGCGTCTCTGCCCTGAGCCACTGGGGGGGCGGGGCCAGCCGGGGCACGGGGACCAAGAGCCGGGGGGCTGCTCGCCTTGCACATGCCGTAGTCTGTGAGCTTGATGTGGCCGTCGGCGTCCAGGAGGACGTTGTCCAGCTTCAGGTCCCGGTAGATGATCCCCCGCTCGTGCAGGAAGTTGAGAGCGATGCAGATCTCGGCGGCATAGAACCTGAGGGCGCCCTGGTGTCAGTGGGCCCGGCCAGGGGCCTGCTCTCCCCTCGCAGGGCCCTGCGCCCCTGGCTGACCAGAGCTTGGGGCCCACGGATCCGGGGGAAGGGCTCAGCCTGCCAGCTGCCTGGAACACGCCGATCGAAGCCACAGGGAGACACGGGCCACGACCAAACGCACACGCACACACCACCAAACACATACAGACCCAAACCTGAACCCCAAGTGGGACGAGGACACAGAGACTGGGCCCTGTGCACCGTTGGCGGGAGTGTGAACGGGCGCAGCTGCCGTGGGGGACGACGCAGGGAGTCCTCTAAACAGAACTGCCCCACGCCCCAGCCGTCCCACTGCTGGACACGTCCCCTGAGCAGCTGAAAGCAGGGGTGAAGCGATGGGTATGCCCCCGCGCGCACGGCAGCACTGCTCACAATCGCCAAGAGCGTGACAACAGCCCAGTGTCCATGGAGGACGGACACACGTGAGGTGGTCCAGCCACACGGGAACATCGCTCAGCCTTAGAAGGAAGTAGCCGTGACACGTGTTACAACGTGGACGGACCGGGAGGACGTCACGCCGCGTGACACCTACCAGACACGGAAGGACAGAGACTACGTGACTCCACTCTCGGGACGTCCCTGGAGGACTCGGACCCACAGACACAGAGCGGACAGTGGGGCGGGGGCGGGGTGGAGAGCGTGTCGTGGGGCCAGGGGTGTGGTTCGGGGGGATGGAAGGTTCTGGAGGGGGTGGTGACGGCTGCATGACAGTGGCAGTGTCCCCCGTGCCCTTGAAAATGGCTAACGTGCCAAATGCCACGTGACGGGCGTTTCTCAACCAGAAACAGTGACTGATTTATCGACTGCCACTGCCAAGAGGATCCAGGGCGACTCAGAGCGGCCTGGGAGCCTTTCTAGCGGGAAGCGCGGGGGGAAAACAGTGGAAAACAGGAAGGCGGTTGGGGGGGCGGCGCGGCAGCGAACGCCCAAGGCCACAGGCAGCCACACAGCCACACACGGGCTTTCCTCCTCTCGTCCCCAGGGGGCCCTGCGTGAGAACCTGTCCCCGTTCTGGGAACAGAACAGGGGAGAGCACAGCAGGACCCACTCCCATGGAAAAGGTCCCCCGGCCACTCCTGGGACCCTCCCGAGTCGGTGACCGTGGGTGGCTCTGGACCACACCGCTCGCAGGGGACGGCAGGGCACCCCCTCCCCGGGGCCCACACCCACCTGGCGTGCTCCTCCGGCAGCTTCCGCTGCCTCTGCATATGGAACATGAGGTCCCCGCCGTTGACGTATTCTATGACCAGGAACAGCCTGGTGGGACAGAGTAGGGGTGTGGGTTGAGACCGTGGGCGTCGGCTGGACCCACCCACAGGCGGGAGCCCCTGACTGGGGACCCGCCCAGGGGTCACCCTCCCTGGTGACAGACTGTCCCGCCCCCAGCCTGTCCTCTCTCCCTGTCACGTCGACTCTCCTGAGTGGAGGAAGAAGGTGGAGGCCCGGGTCACCTGACCTGCGCCCGGGGGTCAGCAGAGGAAGCCGCCTAGAGCGAAGCGGACCGGGAGGAGGCAGGGCCATGCCCCAGCCATCGAGGTGTCACTCGAGACCACTGTCACCCAGTTCTGACCCTGACACCCTGGCACAACTCAGGAACCGCACCTTTCCGCCCCCGCCCCACCCGCCAGCTGTCTGCCTCAGGGCAGCAAAGGGGAAGGAGGGCAGGGCCCTGGCCAGAGGCCCCCGGTGGGTGGGCAGCAGGGGCCTCGCCAGGACCAGAGGTCTGGCCAGCAACGGGGACCAGCTGTGCACTTGAGAAAACACCAGGTGCGCGGGCCAGGTGACGGGTGAAAGGCCCGAGAACCACCGCTGTGGCTGCTGAGTCTGGGGGGACCCCAGGGAGGGGAGAGTGGGCGGGAGGAGGAGCAAAGGCAGGGTCCTAGTGCCAGAGGGCGGTGGCCAGGAGGGGCCAAGGGGGCCGGTGGGCGGGGCTGCCGCGGGCAGGCACAGCGCAGAGCCCCAGGGGTGGGGGTCGGGGGTCGGCGCCGACCAGCCCACGGGGAGTCGGGGCATCGGCGAGGCACCGCCACGTCTCCAGGCGGTTTAGCTCCTGGTCTCTTTCCAGACAAGCTCGTCCCCACATTTAACAAGGCTCCACTTTCAACATAAAACCCACACAGTTTCCCAGAAGCACCTGGGTGAGGGCGGCTCTCAGAGCCTTAGGTCACCAGATCTGTCAGGGGGGTTGGGTGGGAGGCGACCCCGTGTCTCAGCCCGCCGGGCCTGTCCGCACCCAGGGTCTGTCCCCACCTCCAGAGGACACGCTGGGAGCACCTCCGACCACCCTGGCCCGGCCACAGCCTGTCCCTGCACATCCCTGTGGCCTGGCTGCCTTCACGCTGCAGGTGAGAGGCCAAACCTGTGCCACCTGGCCCCGCACAGGCACGAGGACGGGGGGGGGGGGGGGGGGGGGGGTGGCAGTGTGGCCTCGGCATCAGGCGCTGTCCTAAGCACAACCTGTGTGTAAACCCGTTGACTGGGAAGGGACCCAAGACCTGAACGTTAGTCCCAGGATTTTTGTTTTTAAAGCATTTATTCAAATTCAAAACATGTGGCAGATGTTTCCCAGTCAGGAGTCCTGTGCCTGGGGAGCCTGCCCCCCGAGAGAGGCCTCACCCCAACATGGAGCACCCGCATGTCAGCGACCACGGCAACTCGGGCAACGCCACTTCCGGGGAAAATGAACAGATGGTGGAATCCGGGAAGGACACCGCCGCGCCAGCGAGACCCGCGCAAACGGTGACACAGGCAACACGGGACACTGAGGCCGGGAGCCCCCCAGGGACACACAGCGTCTTCTGGGAGGGGCCGGCGTCGACCCAGGGGCCCTGCGCTCGCATCCCCACCTCCGGGGCGGCCGCCCCCGGTGCTGCCCAAGGGCTTCCATCAACGTGGTGTAGAAAGCTCCAGAGAACAAAGGAAGGAAAGTTTAAAAAGCCAGCAAAGAGAGGACTTCCGCCAAGATGGAGGCGTAGGTGGGAACACTTTGCGTCCTCGCACAACCAAACCTAAAAACAACAAAGTTTCAACAGCAATAAACGCAACCAAACCACAGAAAATCGACTGTACAGAGTCCGAAATCAACGAACTGCTCAGCTAAACCGGTGAGAGGGGCGAAGCCAGCAGCGGAGCGGGTCGGGCAGGGAAGGTCCACGACCGGGCGGTGCAGGGGCAGCCGAGGGCGCGGATCCCAGGTGCGGGCTGGCTACGGGCGGACACAGGGAAGAGGCGCGGCTGGCTGTCTGCGGTTGGTCGAGCATTTGCGTGCAGATAAGCCAGTGAAGAAGCGAGCATTGAGACTGTGCAGTGCAGGGCGGCAGGCTCGCACATTTCCGCTCAGATAAACAGGCAGGGGCGAGCAGAGAGGACCGCCACCGTCCCTCTCTGATCCCGCCCTCACATACAGCGTCACAAACCAGTGACCTGGGTGGCCCCACCCTGGTAAACAACTAAGGCTCCGCTCCTCATACATAACAGGCACAAACAGATCAAAACATGGCTCAAGAACAACTCAGAGCCCCAGAGCCGATAAATCTAAGCGATGAAGAAATAGCCAACCTTTCAGATGCACAGTTGAAAACACTCGTGATCAGGATGCTCACAGAACTGGTTGATTTTAGTCACAAATTAGAGGACAAATGAAGGCTAAACTAATTGAAATGAAGGGAAATGCACAGGAAACCAATAGTAATGGAAAGGAAACTGGGACTCAAATCAAGGGAGTGGACCAGAAGGAAGGAAAAAATGACCAAACAAGAAACAAGAAACAAATGAAGAAACAAGAATTCAAAAAAATGAGGAGAGGCTTAGGAACCTCCAGGACATCTTTAAACACTCCAACATCCGAATTATAGGGGTACCAGAAGGGGGAAAGAAACAGCCACCAGTGGAAAACTTATTTGAACAAATAATAAGAGAATTTCCCCAATCTGGCAAAGGAAATAGACTTCCAGGAAATCCAGGAAGCTCAGAGAGTTCCAAGGAAGTTGGACCCAAGGAGGAACACACCAAGGCACATCATCATTACATTAGCCAAGATTAAGATGAAGGTGAGAATCCTGGAAGCAGCAAGAGATTAAGGGGACAGTCACCTACAAAGGACTTCCCATCAGACTGTCAGCAGATTTCTCAAAAGAGACCTTACAGGCAAGAAGGGGCTGGAAAGAGGTATTCCAAGTCATGAAATCCAAAGACCTACAACCAAGATTGCTCTATCCAGCAAAGCTTTCATTTAGAATGGAAGGGCAGATAAAGTGCTTCTCAGATAAGATCAAATTCAAGGAGTTCATCATCACCAAGCCCTTATTATATGAAATGTTAAAGGGACTTATCTAAGAAAAAGTTAAAAAAAACATGAACAGTGAAAGGACAACAAACTCACAGTTATTAACAACCACACCTAAAACAAAAGCAAACTAAGAGGACAGCTAGATCAGGAGCAGAGCCACAGAAATGGAGATCACATGGAGGGTTAGCAACAGGGGAGTGGGAGGAGGAGAAGGGGGGAGAAGGTACAGAAAATAAGTAGCATAGACAGTAGATAGAAAATAGATAGGGGGGGCAAGAATAGTAGAGGAAATATAGAATCTAAAGAACTTGAGACACGTGTTCATGAACTAAAAGGGGGATTGGTGGGGGAGGGGGGTGCAGGGTGGAGGGGAATGGAGGGGGGAAATAGAACAAATGTAATGGCATAATCAATAAAATAAAAATATATATTTAAAAAAAAACAGCAAAGACTGCTTAAGGCAGTAGAGGTGGGAGCGGGTATATGGGGGATAGTCATGGAAAAAATGACCAAAAAAAAACCCCTTAAAGAAAAAGTTGCACAAGAACGAACCACAGGCGGACCGAACGCCCTCAGTGAAAATCCCTGAGTACGACGCACCCACATGGGCAGAGCCGCGCACCCGGGGCCGGCTCAGCGTCCCCGCCAAGACGTGGGCTGTGGACAGCGCCGCGGGGGGGGGGGGGGGGGGGGTGCCTCCTGACCGGCACCTCCTCCACTGGGAGACCATTCAGAGCGCCTGACGCTCTTGCTGTGAGACAAGCGACCACTCTCAGCCGGTCACTGCCCACCCCCAGCCTGCCTGTTGCCCCCACCCGGCTGCGGGGCCTGCAGGCGGCATCCGCCGGGGGGACGCAGGAGGATGCAGGTGTGGGCACAAGCAGGGCCGGCGCCTCCCTGGCCTGCAGCCCCAGGAGACAGGCCCCTTTCCCTGGATGGAAGTGGTGCAGTGCTCACAGGTAGAGGCCCTGGTACCGGCGCCCCCCTCCCCCCTCAGCACCCCTCCAGCCCCTACGGTGGTGAAGGCCGGAGCTGTCCGTCCGTCTGCCTCTCGGCCTGTCGGAAACCGGAGGTGGTCTGGCTCTGCTGTCCTGACGCCCAGGTGCACAGCGGCCAGCGCGATGCTCACTGCGCACAGGCTGAAGGTCTGAGCAGGGAACAGGTTTATCCGCTGTGTCCGGCGTCATCCCAGGTGAGGCAGGGATGGCTGCGTCCCCGCACAGGGTCACATGTGGACAGGGGCACCCCTGGGAGGAGGGCGCGTACACAGAATGTCCTTCGTTCCTGCCGCAAACCAAAGGAACCTGCTGGAGAGTCACCGCAGAGAGGACGCCTGAGCCAGGGGGCCAGGTTCTGCGATGGGGACAAAGAGCTGGCTGACAGCAGAGCCGAGAGGGACATGCTCCGGACACGTGTCAAGGCCCTGGCAGGCGGGGGCCAGGGGCTGCCTGACATCACAGGCCTGTCCATGGTCTCGGCAGGAATCTAAACGGTTTGTCCCAACAAGAGCCCAGGTTCTTCTTCTCTCCGGAGTGAGGCAGTTTGAATCTGAACCCCCGAACGACAGAAAGCCGCGAGGCCCCGGCAGGACTGCGCACTCGACCCGGCACGTGGGCCCCGGCGACGTCCTGGGCCCTCCGCCCACTCCCACCGTGTTGGGTCTTACAGAGAAGCTCGTACTTGTGGGGCTTCTGATGGCGTTCACTCTGTGTTCTTGTTTCTTCCTGACGTCACTTAGCAGGTGGCCAAAGCACGGTTCCCGTCCGGTCCTGACAGAAGCAGCCCCGGGCTCCGGGTGGGCCCGACCGCCGACCCAGAGGGGCCCTGTGCCCGGCAGAGCGTCCCAGTGGCACAAGGTGGCGGCACCGTGGCCTCATCTCCACGCAGTTGTCCCAGGTCACCGTGCCCTCGAGCGGCTCCTCCGGCCCCAGTACCAGGTCCTGGCTGGTCCAGTCCTGCCGCAGCCGCCAGCTCCAGCGCAGGAAGCAGCAACGGGGGCTCAGGGTGTGGAGGCCGCGTCCCAAGGGTCCCTCACTGGCCAGGGCTTTGTCACTCCTAACAGCTGGCATCTACTGCCCTTGATGCGGAAAGAAAACCACTCCTGGCACCCTGGCAGAGCCACCATTACCCACATGGGACAGCCGAGTCTCTGTGACGCCCTCGTGGGCAGGCGGCGGCCCGAGGGGACCTGCCCCGGACCTGGGCAGCCAGGGCCGTGCTTTCCCCACTTCAGATGATCCAGATGGAAGGGGGCAAAATCAGGGCTTAGAGCCGCCACCGCACTGCCAGGTGCCACTGCACACCTGCTCTCCACACCGGCTCTCCCTGCTCACAGTCACGGTGGCCACAGCCGCCCTGCGTTCAGAAGGTGCGGTGACACATGCTCCCAAGGACGGCAGCACCTGCCGGCCAGGGTCCTGAGTGATGGCCACCGGGGTCCTGGCACCTTCACCTGGTCCCCGCCCCGCAGCCACAGTGGCCCCGTCAGCTCCTCCGTGGCCTCTGCAGACTGGCACACGGGCACATAGCCTCCCCGTGTCCGGCTGAGGCCGAGGGGCACAGAGAACGGCGACGGGCTGCGTGGCCATGGGCCGCAGAGCTCTGCCACAGACCACGGCCGCCAGGCGCCAAGCCAGAACACACGCTGCCTGCGGAGGGGAGGGGCTCGGCGCCGCCTCACCGTGTCTCAGAGGCGGTCTGTCACTGCCGATCCACAGTGACGCTGACGTGACTCACGTGGCCCCACAGTGCACTCGGTCAGACGTGGGGACTGGCAGGGGGCGGCTGTGTGGCTGTGATGTCGGTCTCCCGTCACGCGGGACCCAGTCTGTGCTGCAACACCGCCGGGCACCCCTGGACTGGGGGGCAGAGGTGCCCACTTCTCCCCTTTTGGAGCCCCTTGCGGTCGCCGGCGGGCGGGGGGCTTCGCTGCCTGTCACCAGGTCTCTACTAGGGGCTGCAGCCCCAGGGTAACAGGGCCCTGGTGTGTCACACACAGTGGCAGCTGCGTGGCCCCAGCAAACCCTCGGTGACTCTGGGGGCAAAGGAAAAGCCCTCCCGATGCCTGCAGGGACCCTCAGCCGCCCACCACAGCTCGGCACCACCCCTGCCCCCCCCCCTCACCCCCCCCACCATCTGCATGGGCGCCCGGGCAGCTGTGCCAGCTGACAGCCACCTGGCGTCGGCCCAAGGGAGCTGTTGGTGGCCGTCACATCGGGGCTTGGAGAGGGATTGTGAAGATGGGGGCCACCCGACGGGCCTCCCAGCAGCTGGTCACCCTGCTGTCACAGTCCCGGAGCAGGGAGCTGGGGTGACCAGGGCAAGGTGGCCCAGGCGGGAAGAGGAGGGGCTGCAAACAGAGCCCGTGTGGCCGGTCAGGAGGAGCTGCACACGGGCCGGGGCGGGGCCCGGCTCCCGCGTTGCCCCAGCGCACAGCCCCCCGCTGCACGCGGGTCTCGGCCCAGGTGCAAGCAGACTGTGACCTTGACTCTGAGCCAGTTGGTGCGTCTTCACCAACCCGTTCACAGGCGGGTCAGTGCGTCCTGACAGATGTCGCTTTACGTCTGTACAGAGCACACCAGGCGTCACCTCGAGAAACTGGCCGACCCCAGCCCCGCCCACACGCTGTCAGGAGCCGGCTGGCCCACGAGGGACCTGCACTCTCATGGCACACGGACCAGGGCAGCGAAGAGGGCAGCCTGGACAGCCCTGCCCGGCTCGCCCAGGGTCGGTGACCGCTCAGAGGTCGCCCACCGAGTGACTGCGGGCACACGTCAGTTCTCCTGGGCCGGGCCTCCCCACTGTGGCCGCTGAAGGCGAGTTTTCCAGGTGTCGGCCTGAAGCAGCAGCACGGAAGTGGGGCCCCACGGAGTCAGCTCACAGATGGAGGTTTCAATGACTGAGACGTGCCCAGGGCCAGGTGACTCAGCGGGGACCCGGGGCCAGAGAACAGGAAGCGCTGTCTGTGCTCGGGCGGGGGCCAGGGAGGTAGTCGTGCTGGGTGTCCCTTTTACCTCCCAAAACTCAGCACAAACCAGAAGGAATGCTTTGCACGGTCCCGTGAGGAGGGGTGGGCTCACGGTGGGCTGCCCTCCCCAGGCAGGTCGCCATCCCGGGCACTGTGGTCATGGCTCAACCAGGGCCCGAGACAGCGTGACGTGTGCAGCCAGGAAGCCTGTCGCCTACCCAGGGAGCCCCAGAGCAGAGCGGGGCGAGCGGAGGACAGGGCCGTCCGCCAGGTGGTACGGCCGCATCACATAAAGTGGGGAGCAGGGCAGAGCCGGCCACACTGCCCTGGCCCCGGACCCCAGAAGCACCTGGGGAGTAAGCGGAGGGGCTCCGGAACCGGAGACAGACACACGGATCTACACTCTCTACACAGGTCTTAGGGAGCACATGGGGGGACGGGCAGCCTGGGGACCAGGGACCAGGCGACACAGCAGGCTGGCGGGGGGTCTGAGACCCATTCAGGAGGCAGAATCATGAGACCCCGGGAGGGGCCCCCGCAGCCTGGCGGGGGAAGGCCGGTGCGTCCCAGGAGCTTTGGATACGCAGACGGCTGGCCAGCACCGGGGCGGAGGGGGCTGAAGGTCAGGTGAGCCGAGGGTGGGCGAGGCGGTGGGCACGCTGCTGGTGCGACCCCAGCTGAGCACCCAGCATCAGGGTGCAGGCCACGGGAGGCCCCCCCGAGTGGCCGGCCCGCAGCGGGGCCTTCGAGGGGCGAGCAGTTGGTCTCCTGCGTGGAGCCGAGAACCTCGTCCCTGAGCCCGGCGACCAGCTGCATCCTGTGTATCCTAGTAAAGCCTCCAGGACCCCAACCCGGGACACAGCCGACAGCTTTGCAACCAACGAGCTGGGTGAGTGCCAGTCGACTGGCCCGAGACTGAACGGCGTGTGTGTTCGGTGCCCCAGACCAGGCGTCTCCAGCACTTTCCAGAGCGGCGGGGCTCTCGGGCGGAGCCGGAAGCAGTCACTGGTCTGCTCCCCGAGTCAGCGGGGCCCAGCAGGACCCACCTCCCACTCATGGGGTCGTCCTGACCTGACCCAGCGCCGGACCCAGCGGGACGCTTTTGATGAAGATTTTGTGATTAAATCGTTTAGGTTCCCAAATGTGAAATTTACTTAACATGACCCCAGTCGACGACCAGGAAGCTAGTCGGACGAACCAAACCCCCACACTTGACACTGGGGGAGGCCTACAGTTCCCACCAGCCCAGCTCCCACGCAGTCCAGACCCCCGGACGCAGAGCCCGATGCCCTACCTGCTGGCCGTCTGGAAGCAGGAGTGCAGGCCGACCAGGAAGGGGCTGCTGGACGCCTGCTCGAACACGTGCTTCTCCGTCTGCACCCAGTCGATGTCCTGCAACAGAGGCTGGGAGGTCACCGGGGCCTCTCGCCCCCACTGGGGCGACAGCGCAGAGGCAACACCCACTCAGGGACACGTCTCCACCACCCGGCCCTCGCCGGCCGTCACCACCACTGTCACTGGTGGCCTGTGAGTGGCTGGCTTCGTGCCCACTGAAGACCCCCTGGGATCTGAGGGTGGAGTCCCACAGGCACCTTCCCAGTCCCGTTCCCTCCACAGGGCTGCCCCCGATCCATGCCAGAACCGGGGTGCGGCTCCTCCTGCCCCTCCGTCTGCCAGGAGACCCCAAGGGCGGAACGGCTTCCGTCCCATCTGTGCGTGCGGAGGACCCCGGGCCCTCCTGTCCCCCGCTCTAGCCACGCCCGTGCAATGGCTGCTGGGTAATTCTACTCAGTGCCTCCCCCGCCAGGCCGGCCTCCGACCGGCACTCCTGACACCTGCTCTGCGAGGGCAGCCAGGCACCCGGACCTCCAGGCGGAAGACCCTGCTGGGGGCTGGGATGCCTCCTCCCCTCCCAGGCAGGTCCCTCACTGACACGGCCGCCTCCCGCCCTCCAGGCTGAGACACAGCTCCCGTCTGCCTGAGGGCCGCCACCCAGCCACTGCTGCGGTGGCCCAGGCTCCGAGCCACAGGACACTGCTGTCTCTCTCACGTGCCCGGAGCCCACTCCCCAACTCGGGGGCCGTGCCCTTCTCTGGGGACCACCTGGAAGCCCACCTCCGCATCCTGCCCCCAGTGGACAGCATGAGGTCCCCGAGATGAACCGAAGCACTAACTGCCCTAATGCCTTTCCTCTCCGGGGCCCCTGCAGACCGGGCGCCACACACCGCACTTGCTGTGTGGCTGGCTGCTGTGCCGGGAAGGGGTCTGCGCCCACCAGCAGGGCCTCGGGCCAGCAGCGGGGCCAGGGCTCAAACACGGGCACCCCCACCGCATACATGCACTGGTGGGCAGGGCCCCACTCTGCCCCTGGGCCGCAGCGGCTGGACCACGCAGCACCGCGGCTCCCTGGGCACAGCCCTTTCTCCGCTCCTGAGAGACAGCACACGGACCCAGGGAGCCCCTGGCAAGGTGCTCAGCATCTCTAATCACTGTGGCGATGCAGCTGAAGCCACAGGGAGCAGCCACTTCACAGCCACCAGAGCGGCGCTAATCCAAGCCCAGAAAACGGCAGGCACTGGACAGGGCACCTGGGACCTGGGACCCAGGCGAGGACGCAGAGGGCGCAGCTGCTGCCGCCGAAGGAGGTCTGCGGCTCCTCGGAGAGCTGACAGCGGAGCTGCCTGACGGCCCAGTGATCCCACTCCTGCCGGGAGACCCCCCAGACTGGACACAGGGACGCGTTCAGACAGACAGACGCCTGCACACACGTGTCCACAGGCTCTCTGCTCCCAGCAAACAGCCCAACCCAAATGCCCGACCACGCTGCCCACCTTGCTCAGCCGCGAACTGGGGCGAGGCCCGACCCAGGCTACTCTGTGGGGGGCCCTCGAACACGACGCTCAGTGCACAGCCGGACCCTCAAGGCCGCACAGCGTGTGTGTGTGTGTGTGTGTGTGTGTGTGTGTGTGAGACTCTGTGTGTGAGACTCTGTGTGTGTGTGTGACTGTGTGTGTGAGAGACATCGGAACAGGCAAACCCTCCCAGACAGAAGGCAGAGCTGGGGTTGCCGGGGGCCCGGCCTGGGGGGCGCAGCTCCTTCTGGGGGTTGAGATCGTCCTGGCCCCAGAGAGAGGACGTACCAGCCAGACATGGGGACGTGCGGGACGCCACGGCTGTGTGGGCTTCAGCAAGGTCAGCACGGCGCCCTGTGCACCTCACGCCGACCGGAACTGAGCCCGTGAAGCCAGAGCCAAGACCCACGCGAGAACGGTGGCCCCCCCCCGTCCCCCCCGCCCCTCCCCCGGTGCCCCCCGCGGCCCCCCACCTCATCGTCATGCACCAGCTCCTTCTTCACCACCTTCATGGCGTAGATCTGGTCGTTCTTCTTCAGCCGCACCAGGAGGACCTTGGCGTAGCTCCCGCGCCCGATGACCCTGATGAGGTCGAAGTCCTGCAGCCCCAGCCCCTGAGAGATTGTGATCCCGTCCATCCCGTCGATGACTGGCTTGAGGTCCTGAGGGGGAGCGGAGAGGGGGCGGGGAGACGCCTGGACTGGGGCGATGCGGCACCCCGACCATCTCCAGGACGACTGCACAGCCCAGGCCTCAGGGCCACAATCCACTGGCAAGTCACAACTCTGTGACCTAAAGACCCCCCCACCACACCTGGGACGTAAAGCCAAGAAGGAAGGACCGTGCAGCTTTTAGGAAAAGGTTTTATTCATTTATATGTAGAGAGAGAAGATGGGGGGAAGAAAGAGAGGAAGAGAAACACTGATTGGCTGCACCTGGCACACCCCGGACCGGGGACCTGGCCCGGAACCTGGGTGCCCCCCAACTGGGAACCCAACTGGATAGCGCCTAACCCACCGAGCCACACAAGCCGGGGCTGCGCAGCTTTTGATGGAAGGAGCTTGAAATGAAAAACCAATTTATTTCTGCAGACCGTGGCCCGCTGTGAGTGACACAGGATGCTTGGGGACAGCGTCACTGGGACGGCTGAGGAGGTGACCACAGGCTCACACGCCCCAGGTCCTCCCAGGGCCGACACAGCAGACACTGAAGACGGACGGGATGAAGGAGAAAGGCAACCTGACTCAGAACGCAACCGGCTTCCTTCCTGCAGACTGTCACCTGGCAAGGACCCTGGTGGGGGACGTGGGCGGCACCTGAGTGGCCCTGACTCACTGCAGGCAGAGTCACCAGGGTGAAGATCGACACGTGACACCTGCGAGCACTTTGCAAAAGCTGTGGCAGGTGCAGCAGGAGCTGCCGCCTGAGCTCTTGGGGACGGAGGTGCAGAACGCCAGCTGTGCGGGAACACGCTTGCCCACGGGCACCGCGTGACTGTGCCTGTGCCCCCAGAGCCTCCGCAGACAGACCCCCTCTGAGGGAGCCGGGAAGGACAGGGAGGGGCTGCAAGGGCCCTCCAGTCAGAAGGACGACGGCCCCGGGCACTGATTATAAAGAGAGCTGTGCACTGGGTCTTCCAGTCTTGGCCCCGGAATTTCCTAAGAGCCGGGAGATGTCTTTTGTTATGCTAATAAGCTGACTTTAGAAAAGCCCCCAAATTACCTAAGATGGGGGCCGGTTGCCAGGGAAACACACCACGCACTGCACTCGGAGGGTTGGAAGTTCAGCCTCACCCCAGATCTCCAGGGGGGAGAGGGGCTGGGGACGAGCCCCAGCTGAGTCAGCCCTGCCTGCGTGAAGCGGCCCCCACAAAACCCCCAGAGCACAGGTCCCCGAGACCCCCCGGGGTGACAAACACCCGGATATTCGGGCAGGGCGTGGGGCCTCCTCTGCAGGCCTGGTCCTCTCACGACAAACCTGTCACCTCCCAAAGGAGCCACTCCCACCACTAATCAAGCCCAAAAGAGGAGGTCATGGCAACCCTCACCCTGGGGTCGGTTGCCCAGAAGCCCAGGTGACGAGCTGGACCCGTGGTGGCACTGGGAGGGGGCCGCCTCCCAGCATGGAGCCCTCGATGGGGCCGGTGCCGTCTGCAGGTGGACGGTCGGAACTGGGCTAGTGTGTGCGGAACCTGGCCCGGGTCTGCAGAGAACTGGGGGACTGCTTGGTGGTGTGGCGGACGCGCAGCGGAAACAATAAAGGATAAATAACCTGACGAGATAAACAACTCGACGAAAGTGACAGCTCCAACACCAGCCTGGACCTTCCGTCTGGGGGAAGAGGGTGCTGGGGAGGCCACACCCACAGGGGGAGGCACCACCCAGGCCGGGACCCAAAGGGCCACAGTGTCGGGAGCCTCTGGGGCCTCTGAAAGGACGCACCCCAAGCGAGACCTGGCTGTGGCGCCGCAAGAGCCGGTGAGGCTGGCGCCAGGCCCTGGTGCCCCCCCAGACCGACTCCCCCCCCCCCACACACATCCTCAGAGACTGAGGCTCTGGCCCTGAGGGAGAGACGCCGTGGACTCCGAGGCCCCGTGGCCCCACGAGGGAGCACCTGCCACCAGCTGCAAAGCAGTCCCGGGGCCGAGCGAACCAGCCGGCCAGGGAATCTGCTGAACATCTGGGCCCATCCCGTCCCCGGGCCCACAGACTGCACCTGCCACAGGCGTGCCTGAGGCCACCAGAAGGCCAGTGAGCCCCCACCCCGGTCCCCCCAACCTCAGGGGCCAGCCTTCCCCACTGCTCAAAGTGCCTGAGGCAGGGTCTTGGGTGGGGGTCACCTGTGCTGGCCACGCCCCCTGCCTCCGGTGAGCCCCCCACGGTGCCGTTTATCCCCGTGGAAGGGAGTGATCACACCCAAACCACACGGCAGAGAGCTGAGGCCAGAGAGGCGCCCGAACCAGGCCGGCTGCTGGGCCCCGGCAGCCTCGGCCCACAGGCCCTGCCCGCACGGCCACGGGAGTTACTCGCCGAGCACCACACCCTCACCCCGACTCGGCAGCGGCTCACGCTCTGCCGCATCCGCACACTGTGCCCCGAGCCATTGGGGACGGCCTCTGTTGCGGACTTCCACGCTGCCCGCCACTGCGCACCGCCTGGGCACCCTAGAGGCCGTGCCCCCGTCTCCCACGGGCGCCAGCCCGACAGTGCAGGCCGTACAACGACCCCGTCGCCCCAGATGCGAGCCCAGGAGCCCCCACGCCGTCCTGCACACTCACCTCAGAATCATCCTTAACGGTGCCATGTTTCCGGGAGGAAGGGATGTAGGGAACTGAGGAGGAGAAAGGGGAAGGGGGTCGGGAGCAGACCCCGACAGGGACGGGGGCAGCGCCTGCCCAGCCAGGCCCGAGGAAATGCAGCTTCCCGGGCCCCACCCGCCCTGCACTGGAGCCCGGGTCGCCCATGGACCCGTCGTCTGGAAGAAACTGCTCATGGGGGAGGTCAGCGTCTACCCACCCGAGCTCTGTTCTCAGAGCGAAGGGGTGGAGAGATGGACGGAGGGGCCGTGGTTGGAATGGGAGGTGAGAAGGTGAACGGGGAGCTGGTGGGTGTGAACGGTGGACGGGCGGGTGGGTGACTGCTGGGCGTCTCCTCTGTGAGGAGCTGTGGGGGCCCGGGTCTCAATCCCTCCTCCGAGGGCCCCCGGGAGGGACGCACGTTCACCAGGTCAGGGCCGGGCTCCTGCCACCGTCCAAAGGCCAGGACCTTCAGGGCTGGCCCTCGGTCACAAGGGTGTCAAAATCTCTCCCCGAGTGCTTCTTAGCATTAAAAAGAACCTATGCCCATCAGAAAAAATCCCACAAGACCCCAAGGGCCAGGCCCCGGCCTGCTGTTTGCACTGTGCCCACCTGCACCCCCTCCCTCCGGGGGCTGCAGCCTGTGGCCCATCTGGGGCGGGCCTGGCCTGGCTGCTGCACGGAGCACCTCCCGAGTGTGCCGTCCACCTGGAGGGGAGACCCAGCCCCCCTCCCACGGCAGCAGCCCCGGAGGAGGCCACTGCCCCGCCCGCCTCGGGTCAGGGCTGAGGGGAAGCCCTGCAGAGCTGTCCCCACGGCCACGCGTGCTGGCCCTGGGAGAGGAGGCCCGTCCAGGGCGGACTCGGGGCCCGCGGGAGGGAGGGGGCCCTCACCGCCATCGGTCTCCTCGGAAGGGAGGTCTGCGTCGTCGTCCTTGTCGTCAGCTGCGGGTTCTTGGGAAGGCATGACAGAATCCTGCAGAGACACGGCGCCGCCGAGTGACCGGCAGGGGCTGCGGCGCGGCCTCCGGAGACTCGGGAGCCTGAAAACCGCCCGCCCGGTCGCTCACGCCGTCACACGCACCCTAGTGCACATCACTCAGACTGTCACCTCGCTGCGCTGAGACCCCTGTGACCCCACAGGCAGGCGCCCACCTCTCCAGCAGGTGCTGCGAAAGGAGCCTGCTCACCCCACCCGGTCACTGCCCCAGCCCCACCCCGCCACACCAGCAGGCAGCAGCCAGGAGGGATTCTGAACCCGCCTCCCGGCTCTGGGGTCACTCTGCTGACGTCACAATGGAGGCAGCTCCCTCTCCCCAGCCACCTGGGCCCCAGCGTGGGTGTCCCTCAGCCTGACTAACTGGGCCCTGGGGCGTGTGCGCCTCTGTAGTCCTTGGCAGCCCCGAGCAAAAGGAGCCCCTGCACGGGGACCCTGCCCCCCACCCTGTACGTCCAGCAACATCAGGCGAGACCTGGACTGGGCGGCGCCCCCCGCACCCCCGCTGGAGGGCGGGACGCTGGGTGCCACGGTCACAGGCTGCGGGGGGTGACAGGCAGCGCGCCGGGCCGGCCCCCCACGGGGAGAGGGTCCTCGGGGCCCCACTCACCATGCGCCCCTCGCAGGTCCGTGGGACGAGGGCGTGGCAGCGCTTATGCACCAGCAGTCGGCAGTTGACGCACCTGTAGCCCTGCCTCGCGAGGCCCCATATCCTCTCGCTGCAGTGGCCGCAGTGCGCTCTCTGTGGGCGACAGGGCGGCGTTGGGGGCCCTCGAAGCGCTGCCGGGCCAGGTGCCCCGCCGCATCACTGGTCACACCCGGGCACCAGGCCCCCCCGGGCTCAGCAGCCCCTCCTCGGGTCCACCCTAAGCTGGGGGGACCTGCAGCCCCAAGGGGGGTGAGGGGCAAAGCGAAGGGCCATTGGGCGGGGGGGGGCACGAGGCCCCTCCAGCGGCAGCACCCCACCTGCAGGGAGGAGGGGTGGCCGTGCTCCCGCAGGGGCCTGCCTTGCGGGGGGGCCTGGCTGCGCAGGGCGCGGGGGACCCCCTGACCCTCCTGCTAACGTGCCGCGTACGCGTCGGAGGGGCAGTGGGCTCTGCCGGGCACTCCGACTGGTGGTGAACCACCACGGGGCAGCGTGCACCGCCTCGGCGTGCGCTCCGGCGCTCCTGGAGACCTAAGCCGTCTGTGTTCGTTCCTCACGGCCCCAAACCAGGGTGGGCCCGGCACCAGCCCAGGCGGTTCCACACCCCCGAGTGCGTGAGGACGGAGACCAGCCGATTCGTGGGTGCTGGGCACCCTCCCCCACCCAAGGCACCCGGGGGCCCGACCTGGGCTGCCCTCCGGCCGGGACTCGTTCGCAGGCCGTTTTCAACAAACGTCTCTCTTTGGAAAGAGACGTCTGCCTCCACCTGCTTCTGGAGAGGAATGAGGAGGGCGCACCTGGACCAGCAGGCGGACTGAGCTCAGGTACAAACGGGTCCAGCCTGACGCCTCGCGGTGCTAGGGCCCTCCCCGATCCACCCGCTCCCGGGACGAGGGACGGCACCGAGAGGCCCAAGCCTCCTCAGGACGAGGACGGGGACAGGGCCACAGTGGGCGCCCTGCCAAGACCTCACTTCTCCATGGAGAGAAGAACCCTTTGCCCACCGATGCCGGGGCAGGGCTGGTCGGGGGGATGCGCCCTGCAGTCAGACCGAGGGGTTTTTCCTCCTGAAACCTGCTGGTGGGAAAGGCTGGCCACCGCACCGCTGGCCCTGGCCCGCCTCGCTAGGTGAGCTGCCCTGGGACCCACGGTGCCTGCCGACGGCGTTTCCCCGAGAGCCAGCGGGGCCCGGCTCCAGGGGCCTCTCCCTGACACCCCGAGGGGGTGACGTGAGAGCGGAAACCAGACGGAAAGAAGAGTGAGCGTGAGCGGCAGGGTCACGGGCTGGGTGGGGGGCTGACGCGCGCCAAGGCCCCCAAATTCCCATCCACCCAGAGTCTCAAAACGCGGCTTTATTTGGGGAAGTGTATCTCTGTGGGCGCAGTTCGTTCGAACGTGGTCAGACTGGGCTGCAGGGCCCGAACCGTGTTGGTGGGTCCTGACGGGACCAGACACACAGAGAAGGGGGTGGGGGTGGGGGCCGGGGCTGCACGTCCAGCCTCCAGGCTCTCGAGAGTGAATTTCTGTTTTCACGCCCCTGGTGTGGGGGTGCTTTTCCCGCCGGCCCCAGGCACACACACACCGTGCACCCCCGTGTCCTCGGTGGAACCCAGCCCACCTCAGGGCGCGAGGTGCCGGAGACACAGGCCGTGTTCCTCACGCGGTGCCACCCGGAAGAGGCCCGACGGGGGTCGCGGGGTGACGGGGAGCAGGTGAGCCTCCCCCTGCCAGCTCGGCCTCTCCCATGGGGGCTGAGCAGAGGCCTGCCCCTCTCACTGTCCTTTCAAAGCAGCTCTCGGCACAGGGCACAGGGCACACACTCTGCACACGGCACACACTCAGCACACAGCATCCGGCAGCGACAGCCGTGAGCCGGCACCCCAGGGGCAGCGCTCACCCTGTTAAAGCGCTTGGCTTGGAAGAGATGGCCGTTGGCTCGGTACAGCTTCCTCCATCTTCTGGCGCCGCGGCGGTAGATGGATTCTGGAGCAGAGACGAGAAAGCCGTGAACAGCCAGCGCAGCCCGGCCCACCCTCGAGGTGCCTTCCGGGCAGGCGGCTGGGGCCTTGGGAGGCAGGTACTCCCGGCTGCCTCCCCCACGAGGTCCTCACGTCACAGCCCCAGTGGGGAGCCCAAAGGGGGAGCCCAGTTTGCAGCCAGGACGGCTGTGAGGACAGCGGCCCTGCCCACCGGGGCCCGCACGTCCTCCACCGAGCTGTGCACCCCGTCCCTCCGGGCACAGACACCAGGTGCCACTGCACCGGGGACACGGTGCACACGCGCCGTCACGCCTCACCGTTCCCCGAGGGGCGGCGGCTGCCGCGCGAGTCCAGCGCCAGGCTGACTGCAGCCCCCTGCCCGCCCGTCCCAGCCCCTCCCTGGCAGGAGGGCCCCGCCCAGCAGATCCTGGGGCAGGAGGAAAGCAAACAAAGGGAAGGCTTGTGTCGGGTCCCCGTCACCAAACGACGCCTTCCCGACACGCACACGGCTGTCCCTGCTAACGTCTGCAGGGGTGACCGTCCCCACAGAGCGATGGGGGACACGGAGCCGGTGACGAGAGGGGAGTGGAGCTGGCCTGATGGGACACCCCCTGGCACAAGACGTGTCGAAGCCTAGACAAACACCCACTGGACGTCCTTTGGATTCAATGGAAGCCACCGGGGGTGTGTGTGTGGGGGAGGCACCAGGGCGCCCACCTTGGGCTGCAGGACGGCGGGGAGCACAAGTGCCAGGCAACGGGCACAACAGCGACCCCCGGTGGCCACGACAGGACCTGGGGCCCTGCTGTGAGGGCTGAGTGTCTGCGCCCCCCACACCCACAACAGTGGAGCCGGGCCCACGTGGGGCTGCCTTTGGAGAGGGGCCCCCGAAGGAGTAATGAGGGTTCGGTGGGACAGCGAGGACCGGCCCTGATGGGACTGTGTCCTCCTCACAGCAGGAGACGTCACGCCCCCCACCGCCTAGGACACAGCAGGGGCGGTGCCTGCTCATCGGAAGAAACCGGACCCCTGGGCCGCAGGCTGCCCGCCTCCAGCATGAGAAGTGGGGGTCCTTCACTCCGCCAGAGTCCAGGACGCTGTGCCGGGCAGGCTGGCTGAGGCGCCCGTCTGTCCCCCCAGAAATGGGGACTTCGACACGAGAGGAGGAGCCACCACAAATGGAAGAAGGAAGCGCGGGCGCCAACAACACGAGGGGCAGGCGCTCGGTCAGAGCTGCCGCCGTTCCCTCCTGGAGGCTGGAGTCTCCGTGTCAGACTCGCGGCCACCGCGTCTCGGCCCCCGTGTCCGGCACCTGGGGTGTCCCTTAGTCATGGCCCCAAAGCGCAGGGTGGGGACACCGGCAGCTCGGATGTGCCCAAGAGCAGCCGTGAAGTGCTTCCTGTGGGTGGAAGGAGCAAGTTCTCGACCGAGTAAGGGGAGAAAGTCCTGTGTCGGGGCTGCTGAGACCCACGACAGGAGGGCGTCCGCTGCCCGTGCGCCGGTGGAGCAGGAAAGAGAAACCGGGCCCGTCTGCTGCCGCCCCTCGGGCTGCAGGAGCTCCGGCCACGGCGCGTGACGAGGGCCTCGTCAGGGCGGAAGAGGCGTTCGGTCTGTGGGTGGAAGACAGACGGAAAATGTGTTCCCCGGCAGGCACCGGGCTCCGCGAGGACCTCGGCGGGGACCCAGACCCAGGGACCCCAGTCACGCTGCGTGGCCACACGGGACTGCCGTGACCGCTCGCGCTCAGTGCTGGTTACTGTTCCGCTCCTCCCGGGCCTGCCGTGTGCGTGCCCTTCGCCTCGGGTGTGCAGGCGCTGGAGAGACCGTGTCTGCAGGGTCGGCGCCACCCAGGGCTCAGGCATCCACAGGGGTCCAGAAACATTACCCTGTGGGCCAGGGGGACGGTGACCCCGGGTCCCCATGGACCAGACCCCGGACGCTTGTCACAGCCCATGGAATGACGCTGACGTGATCACCGCCTCCGTCCCCCTCCAGTCCCATGCCCTCAACTCGTCCCCGCCACCCGGACCCCACACTGCTGGGCCACCACGGCCGCCCAGGCTGCTCTGGGCCGGGACAGCTTCTCGGAGGTCCCCAGCTTTGACAACCGGGGCAGTTTGCAGGGTGTGGGTCTGGGGTGCGCTGACTAGCCCCCTCTGGCCGTGCCTGCTGCTCCTCTAGGGTCGCACCCCCCCTTCGGAATCTGCTCAGTACCTTTCGGGCAAAACCCACATCCCCAAATGATGGCAGCTGCCCAAACCCCCAAACGGTGGGTCAGGTGCCAGTCGGACTCCTGGCTAGAAGAGCACCCCCCGCCCGGTGCAGGACCACCCTGGACACAGCCGACGGGCCCCTGCCTCCCGAACCCGAGCTCCAGGAGACCACAGACCCCCCCCACGGGCGGGGCCCCAGGCCTGCGAGCTGTCTGCCCAACAGCCGTCACTGGCCCAGCATCCAGGCTTCTGCTGGGAAAGCCCCAGCCACACGCCCCACCAGAAGTGACAGCCACGGCGAGGAGAGGAGGGACAGTGCGTGGAGCGCTTCCGAGGGGCGGACACCCTGGGGACGGCCCGGCCAGGCGGTGTCCACCCTTCTGCCGGACTGATGACCTCTGGGCAAGACCAGCGAATGAGGGAGCGGGAAGGTCCCAAGGACTGGGACAAGGGGCAGCTCAGCCCCAGCCCCGGGGGCTCGGCCATGCCCCGCACATGCCCTGCAGGGTCCTCCTTGGCCCTGAGTGTCACTGGGGAGCGGGGCTGCTCCAGGACCAGTGCCCACTGTCCCCAACCAGACTCTCCGTGTGGGGCTGACAGCGGCCTGGCGGCTGTGACAGCCGTGGGCGCCGGCTTCCCTCTCGGCCTCCGCTCCGCGGCCCACAAATGCGGCGCTCGGCTCGGCTGAAACTCTATAATTAGGACGCGGCAGGGAATTTTAACCAGCCGTTTCCATGGCGATCTGGCATCGTGATGGCTCTGACAAGGCGAAGAAAATACATTTAAAACGCTGAGCCGAGAGCAACAGGCTGCAAGCAGACCGCGCGTCTCCCAGATTCGGGGACACGTGGCTGTGTCGTTTCCTGGACGGCGGTCAAGGCCCCTCGTCCACCGGCAATGGGCCCCTGCCGGCGACCCGCCCAGCCCAGCCCTGCTGCACCTGGGGCCATGGCACACAGGGACAGTGCCACCCACGCAGGGCCACAGAGCCAGCGAGGAGCCCTCAGACCACGGCGGCAGGAGTGGCGCCGCAGCAGCACGGGGCCGGCACGTCCCCAGGCCAGCCTCCTGCCAGGGTACAACGTCCCCCGGATTCTGGGTCCGGGGAGGGCAGGGCCGCCCGTCTTTCCCACCAGGTGCCCGCAGGAAGCGGTGTGACGCCAGCTCGTTCCAGGCAAACGCAGCCAAAACCAGCAGTGACAAGGCCGCGTTTCTGGGGCCACAAGGTCCCAGCTGCCCCATCACGGAGGCTGCCTGCGGGGACCTGGGCGTGGGGCACAGAGGAGGGGGCCACCCCCGGGCTCCCCCAGCAGCCCCCTCACCCGCCGACACCATCGGGAAAATCGATCCTACCAGATGTTTTCAGAGGGAGGGGCTGCTGGTAACAGTTCGACTTCCTAATAATTCTCACCAGAGAAACTACCTTATCACAAGGTGAATTAGCTGACTGCCGTTCCACAAAGATTCCGTGGAGAAACGTATCCCGACTTCCTAGTACTTGGTTGTAGATCAGTCTGCACTGACCGCAGCCCCTCCCTGCGTGGAGGCTTCCGGTCACGGCCTCTCGGAGACACACACACACACACACACACACACACGGAAGTGCTCCGGCTACCCACACCCAGATGGGACCACGTGTCCCAGACCCCACGCTGGGGGACACGCCGTGGCACCAGGTGCACACGGCCAGGCTCCAGCGTCTGGGCATCACCGACCAGGCGCAGGAGTCGGGACCAGGGGAGAAGCCGGGGGAGGGACGTGTCCCGGGGCTGCCACAGGCCCTCAGTGTCCATAGAATCCTTAGACACCAAACAGAAAAAAAAGGTCTAGAAGCTGTAAGGACCCAAGGTGACCCAGACGAAGGACAGTCTCAACTCAGGCTGCCGCAACGGAACCCGGCACAAACAACAGGTCACCCACCCCATTCCCAGTGCTGTGGGCCAAGGCTGAGGTCGGGGTCGGGGGTCAGGGGCCAGGTCCTGGCAGCAGGCGGCACCTTCTTGCCGTCCTCATGGCAGAGAGCTGTCTGGGGTCTCGCTCCACAGAGACGCTCATCCCCTCCTGAGGCCTCCACCCTCTGCACCCCCAAAGGCCCCACCTCACAATACATCCCACTGGGGGTTACGGCGTCAATGTAGGATTTGGGGGGCACAAACATTTGGTCGACAACACTCCATTCAGCTCCGTCCCCCAGATCCGTGTCCAGCTCACATATAAAACACGGCCACGCACCCTGTCGGCCCCCGACACCCTGGCTCTGGATTGTCACCAAAAGAGCACCCAAACTGAGAGGGTGAGACGCGAGGTGTGTGCGCCCGGAGGCACGCCCCCAGCCTGGACTCGTGGACGTGGGTGAGGGACGCGGTGTGGGCACCGCCCCGTCCCGGAAGGGAGGGAAGCTCAGGTCCCCATGAGCCCACGGCCCGGCGAGGGGAGCCCGCCCCTCGTTCCCCAGGAGAGGGAACATGGGGGGTGGACCCGAAATCCAGGGCACTGCTGCGCCCTGGGCTGCACGAAGTGCTTAGGGCACGAGGCCAGGAGACCCAGGGGCAGCTGCTCGAGGCACAACGCAGAGACGGCCGGAGCAGCGCAGCGGGGCCCCTGCAGGGGACTGGGGTCCCGGGGAGCCCCGGGTGCTTCCGGCACAGGCGGCAGTGATAGGGGATGAGAAACAGACCGGCCTTCCTCGACCGAGGCGACGGACCACCTGCCACCTGCCAGAACCAAGTCAGGACTTTCCACCAGGAAAATCACAGCTCGGGTCCTGCAGTTTTCAAACACAGTATCTGAC